GGAAAAGCACGCACAGGAAAAGAAGGAAAAGCGCGCGCAGGAAAAAGAAGGAAAAGCGCGCGCAGGAAAAGAAGGAAAAGCACGCACAGGAAAAGAAGGAAAATCGCGCGCAGGAAAAGAAGGAAAAGCGCGCGCAGAAAAAGAAGGAAAAGCGCGCGCAGGAAAAGAAGGAAAAGCGCACGCAGGAAAAGAAGGAAAAGCGGGCGCAGGAAAAGAAAGAAAAGTGCGCGCAGGAAAAGAAGGAAAAGCGCGCGCAGGAAAAGAAGGAAAAGTGCGCGCAGGAAAAGAAGGAAAAGTGCGCGCAGGAAAAGAAGGAAAAGCGCGAAGGATTTCACCCATGTGCGGTGCGAGACCACTCATTACAGCATAACATTGATTCTTAACACCACTTCCAACACTTGTGGTGACATCATGCGATACTCACATCTCAATAGCACATTATCAGGGTACGGAAACATCGGCATTTAAATATATATATTTTATGATATGAAGGGGCACATTGAATGTTAATTTCTGGCACTCTGCCAATCCCAATGGCATCCCACAAACTGCAGGCTACGTTAGTAGAGAGATTCATGAGAGCAACAAGTAAATGCTTACGCGGGGGAGATACATACCTTCTTGCGCTCGCGCTTGCCCTTGCCCAGCTTCTTTCCCTCCTCCTCCTGCGCCTGCTCGTAGTGGTGCCTCAGCAGCTTCTCCCAGTACTGCGGATCGGCCGACTCCGACTCCTGCTTCAGCACCTCCTTCTCAACTTCCTCCTCCGTCACCTCCTCACCGGCTCCCTTCATCACGTAAGTGGCAACCTGGATCGGAGAGGAGGGGAGACATCGATCACTGCTACAACGTCTGTCTGTCATGGCAGGAGGCGTTTACCTCAGACTTTCCACCTTACGCCGATTAGAAAGGCATAACGTACTCACGAAACCAATTGTGTAAGACATTGTAAGATAACAGGCCGGGGCATATTAACCGACGGTGCCGCAGTGCACCTGCGTACCTTGAACGAGCTGAGGTACTCGTTAGTGAACCTGCGCGTACCTTAAACGAGCTGAGGTACTCGTTAGTGAACCTGCGCGTACCTTAAACGAGCTGAGGTACTCGTTAGCGAACCTGCGCGCGTACCTTAAACGAGCTGAGGTACTCGTTAGCGAACCTGCGCGCGTACCTTAAACGAGCTGAGGTACTCGTTAGTGACCCTGCGCGTACCTTGAACGAGCCGAGGTACTCGTTAGCGAACCTGTGCGCGTACCTTAAACGAGCTGAGGTACTCGTTAGCGAGCAGGTCCTTGTCGGTTTCTTCGACGACCTCCGTCTTGGTGCGATCCAGCAGTTCCTCGATGATCTTGTCGTCGTAGACGATCGATCCCTCATCTTCCTTACACTCGTCATCCTGCAGAGCACAGACGCGCGCTTGTTACACGGCGAGCACACACAGGTCGCGCACGGACACGGAGGTCGTGACCCAGGGTCGATGGGAGTGTGGAGGGTGGTTGTGTTGGGGAGGGGGCATCGGGGAAACAAAACGCCGCAAGAGTGTAAGATGTCATCACTTTTTGCAGGACACTTCACTCGTCAAGTTTTTTTAAATGTCACTTTTACTATTTCAGACTATGATCTTCAGACTGATGTTGTAACTATTCATGTTGACAATCGGACGTTTAATGCCGTGTTCGTGTTTTCACGTTCACGAATTCTACAATCCAATCGTCAGATTTCTAACCTCTCACCTCTCAACCGCCGTCTCGATTAACAGAAGTACACATCTAGTAATACGTGCGGCGTGCAGCCTGATATAGCGTTCACATCTCTCTGTGTGCTTCTACTTATTACACACCTTAAACAGCTCCTGCGTGCCAAACTTGAGGATGTCGTCCAGCTCCTTCTTGCTGAGACGCGCGTCCTTGCCCTGGCCTCCGCCGCCGCCGAGCCCCGGACGCACGATGAGATGCGTCAGCATCATCTTCCTCTTGGCGACCTCCGTTATGCGCTCCTCGACCGATCCTCGCGTGACGAACCTGCGCAGCGGCAACAGCAGCCCAACAATGTTACTCACGCGGAGGGAGAGAGAGAGGGAGAGAGGAAGGCAGAGAGAGAGAGAGAGAGAGGGAGAGAGGAAGGCAGAGAGAGAGAGAGAGAGAGGGAGAGAGGAAGGCAGAGAGAGAGAGAGAGAGCCTCCGCCGGTGAGTAACATTGTTGTGGCTGCTGTGCCACTGCGCAGGTTCGTCACGCGCGAGGATCGTTCGAGGAGCGCATAACGGGACGTCGCCAAGGGAGATGATGCTGACGCACTCATCGTGCGTCCGGGCTCGCCGCGGGAGGCCAGGGCAAGGACGCGCGTCTCAGCAAGAAGGAGCTGAACGACATCCTCAAAGTTTGGCGCACGACAGGAGTGTTAAGGTGTGTAGTAAGTAGAAGCACGCAGAGAGATGTTTAAGGTGTGTAGTAAGTAGAAGCACACAGAGAGAATGTGAACGCTATATCAGGCTGCACGCGCACGTTACTAATGTGTACTTCTGTAGTCGCAGACGCGCGGTTGAGAGGTGAGAGGTTAGAAATCTGACGATGGGATCGGAAGAATTCCGTGAACTGTTGAAAACACGAACACGCATTAAACGTCCGATTGTCAACATGAAATAGTTACCAACACATCTGAAGATCATATCTGAAATGACGAGATGAAGTGTCCTGCCAAAAAGTGGATAAATCTACACTCAAAGATAGCCAGGGCCATTGTGGCGTTTGTTTCCCGTGCCCCCTCCAACCACAACACCACCTCACTGCCACTTGACCCGGGGGGTCACGACATCCGTGTCTGCGCGACCTGTGTGTGCTCGCGATTAACAACTGCTGCGCGTCTGTGCTTGTCAGGATGACGAGTGTAAAAAACGAGGAGTCATCTGTCTACGACGACAAGATCATCGAGGAAGCGCTGGCATCGCACCAAGACGGAGGTCGTCGAGAAACCGTACAAGGACCTGCTCGCTAACGAGTACCTCAGCCTCGTATTAAGGTACGCGCAGGTTCACTGAAACGAGTACCTCAGCTCGTTTCAAGTACGGAGGTTCACTAAACGATACCTCAGCTCGTTTACAGGTACGCGCAGGTCACTATACGCAGTACCTCGGCTCGTTCAAGGGACGCGCAGGTTCACTAATCGAGTACCTCGGTCTGTTTAAGTTACGCGCAGGTCATTAACGAGTTACCTTCAAGCTCATTCAAAGGTACAGCAGGTCATAACGAGTACCTCAGCCTCGTTCAAGGTACGCGCAGGCTTCATAACATACCTCAGGCTCGTTCAGTACGCGCAGGTTCACTAACGATACCTCAGCTCTCAAAGGTACGCGCAGGTTCATACGAGTACCTCAGCTTCGTTCAAGGTTACGCCCGACAGTTCACTAACGAGTACCTCAGGCTCGTTAAGTACCGCGCAGTTCACTAACGAGACCTCAGCTCGTTCAAGGTACACGAGCGCTTCACTAACGAGTACCTCAGCTCGTTCAAGGTACGCGCAGTTCACTAACGAGTACCTCAGCTCGTCAAGGTACGCCGCAGGCAGTTCACTAAGAGTACCTCAGCTCGTTCAACGTACTGCGCAGGTTCACTAACGAGTACTCAAGCGGGCAAGGTACGCAGGGCACTGCGTGCCGTCGGTTAATATGCCCCAGCCCTTGATCTACAAGTCTTACACAATTAGTTCGTAAGTACGTTATGCCTTTCAACGGCGTAAGGTGGAAAGTCCTGTGGTAAACGCTCCTGTCATGACAGACAGACGTTGTAGCAGTGTTGATGTCTCCCTCTCTCATCCAGTCCACTTACGTGATGAAGGGCTCGTGAGGAGTGACGGAGAGGAGTTGAGAAGGAGTGCTGAAGCAGAGCGCTCGGCGATCGCAGTAGGAGAGCTGTGAGGCACCACTACCGAGCAGCGCAGGAGGAGGAGGCAAAGAAGCTGGCAAGGCAAGCCGAGCGCAAGAGTATGTATCTCCGCGTTAAGCATATTACCCGTTTCTCTCATGATCTCTCTCTACTAACGTAGCCTGCAGTTTGTGGGATTGCATGGGATGCAGATGCAGAAATTAACATTCAATGTGCCCTTTCATATCATAAAATATATATTTAAATCCGAGTTCATACCCTGATAAGTGCTATGAGATCGGAGTATCGCATCATTCACCACAAGTGTTGAAGTGTGTTAAGAATCAAGTTATGCGTAATGTGGTCTCCACCGCACATGGCGTCTAAATCCTCTCGCGTTTTCCTTCTTCCCTCCCCGCTTTTCCTTCTTTTCCTGCGCCGCTTTCCTTCTTTCCTCGGAGCTTTCTTCTTTTCCTGCCTGCCTTTTCCTTCTTTCCTGCGCGCGCTTTGCCTTCGTTTCTGCGCGCGCTTTTCCTCTTTTCCTACCTCGGTTTGCCTTTCCTTCTTTCCTGCGCGCGCTTTTCCTGCTTTCGCGCGCGCTTTTCCTTCTTCCTGCGCGCGCTTTTCCTTCTTTCCGCGCGCGCTTTCCTCGTTCCTCGCGCCGCTTTCCTTCTTTCCTCGCGCTTTTTCCTTTCTTTATCTCCGG